ACAAATATGCCACAACATATACAACAAAAATTTTGGTAGATATTTTTGTAATATAACTAAATATACCACAAACTAGTCCATAAATTTTATTTTGTCCTATATTTATTTATAAAATTTTGGTAATATAAAAAATACACATTTTTTTTTTGAAAATCATTTTTGTGGTATTCAACGTCAAACAACCGAGAAGGAAAAATATTATTTTGTGGTAAAAAATGATTTTCAAAAAGAAAATGTATATTTTGCTATATTACCAAAATTTTATTAACAAAACATACATTTTTCTTTTGAATTTTTTTTTGTGGTATTCAACAACGAATAACCGAGAAGAAAAATTTTACTTTATGGTAAACAAATGATTGCCAAAAGGAAAATGTATATTTTGTTATATTACCAAAATTTTATTAACAAAATATTTCTTATGCTATATTTTCTTATAAAATTTTGGTCATATAACAAAATATACTTTGTGGTATATTATACCAAAATTTTATAAATAAATATAGCACAAAATAAAATTTATGGACTATTTTGTGGTATATTACAAAAATATATACCAAAATTTTGTTGTATAATTTTTTTTGTGGTTTATTTTGTTATATTATTTTCGGTATATTTTTAAGTAACATTATGTAATAATTTTTTAATAATTTTTTTTATCAAAAATAGATAAATAAATAAAAAGCAAAAAAAAAATTTGAATTTTTTTGTCAACATCGGTCAACGCCGGTCAATGCTGGTCAATGCTGGATTCCGGCAACTGAATCACTGGAATTAGATGGTTATGGTGTTTGCAACATGACTTATGTTAGTTCGGGGATGTCCGTATGTAATGTCAATACTTCGTGTAGCTAACGAAACATTTTTAAAGTCTGCATGTGTGACTATGTGATGGTGTATCTTTCCTCATATTTGGATAACTCTGTTTCAAAGATTTACGCGTTTCTACCATATACGAAATATTATATCCTTTCACTAATTAAAATGCTTAATCTAACTCTAATCCAAATATGAAAAACACATTGGTTAATCGATAAATACAAAAAGATAAATAAAAAATCTGATTAAGGAAGCCCTCTGTTTCTCGATCTCGTCCTTAATTCCTCCTTCTCTAAGAAGCCAGCTGTTTTCTTCTTCTTCTTCTTCTTCTTCATCTCTCGTCTCCTACTCTCTTTCTTTGCTCGCACCAAAATTCCCTCAAATTCCTCTTTCGTTAATCGCCGGCATTGTCTTTCTTACCGATCCGACTATCTCAGCATTCGAAATCTCCGGCGACAAAGCCTGATCTCAAGGTTTGTTGAAATCGATATTTTATTTCCTGGAATTTTCTCTGATCTCCGTCCATGTCGGTTTTGTTTTTTTGGTCTTGAATTTTCGCTAGATCTGGCTGCAATTTCGTTTGATCTGATTTATTCTTACGCGTTTGATTAGCTTTCCGTTCGTGATTCCGTCGGTGGAAGCTGTGAAAATGCCGGTGGAGGTGGAGAGAGATCAAGGAGAGGTGTCGGTGAAGGTTGATTTTGAGAATGCGACTGAGATTAAACCGGAGGTAGTAATTCCGGCTACCAAAGAGGACGTGGTGAATGGGATCAGCCATGGCGGTAATAATGGTAACGGAAACGACACCGATGGTTCTTACGTTTTCATTACGGAGAATGATACCGTAGGAGATGATATTGTAGAGTCTGATTCTGTTAAGCATGTTGATGATGCCAATGTGGAGAAAGATCTTAAGGAAGGAGAGAATGTGAATTCTGAGGAAGTGAAGGTAGAGGCTACAAATATTGGCGATGATGATGTTTTGGGAGTTTCTCAAGTTAGTCAAACCCTGGAAAATTCTGAACGAGAAAGGACAGATGATGGACCAGAGGAGGTCGTTAGGATCCCAAAGGCAGAAATTGAGGATTCTCTTGAAAAAAGTGTCGACCAGCAGCATCCTGGTAATGGGCATCTAGAAATTGGCCTTGAGGGTAAAGTGGAATCTAAAGAGGAAGTGGAGCAACTTCAAGATTCTGAAGTTGGATCCAGGGATCTAACCAAGATTAACGCAGAGGAAAAGTCTGAAGGTAAAATTGAACCTGATAGTAAAACAGATGTGGAGGGACATCAAGGGGACAGGATTGAAGCCCAAGAAAAATCTGATCTGGATGTGGATATTTCTGAAGTAGAAAAGCACCCAGTTGACTCAGATGAAGTAAAAGAGTCTGAGTTGGTGACCGCTAAGGTTTCTCCAACTGACCCTAGTGATGGAGGCATGGATTTGGGACAACCTACGGTAACAGATCAAGCTGAAACGATCAATGGATCTGAATCTGTGAATGATCGCAATGGATCAGAATCTGTAGCAGTTTTGGAATCTGTTTCTGTTGAAAACGGTCACCCTCCAATAGAATCAGAGTTGGAGAGAACTAGTGATGTTCCATTCACTTCAGAGGCGGAAAAAGTCAATGCTTCCGATGGTGAAGTGTTGCCAGACTCTAGAACCGTGGATGTTGCTGTATCAGAGGTAAGTAGTGATGTCCCGGCTGAGACTCAAGCTTTTACTGCCATCAGTTTGGATTCCCAGCCTTCTGGCAAAGATAGTGTTGTTGAAAATGGTAATAGCAAATCGGAATCTGAAGACACCAAGATGCAATCGGAAATTGGAGCTGGTGATGATGTCTCTGTGTCTGATGGGAGTATTAACACTCATCCAGAATCTCAATATGCCAGCGATCCTACTTGTGATCAAGATGGAAAACAACACATAGCATCTGAGGTTAAGGAAGTTCTTGATGCCCTTGCTTTAGAAGAAAGAAATGATGCTGTTATTGTTGCCAAAGAGAATGTTTCAGAAGCTGCTATTTCTGATGGCTTATCTTGTACCAACCAGCAGAGATCAGAAAGTGATGAGATATCTGGGCTTGTTGAAAAACTCCCATCCCATACGCTACATGAGGTTGCGCCTTCTGGGAATGACACAAGTGTAATTGTTAGCGATGACATCAAAAGTCAAGGTTTATCAGAGGATCATGGAGTTGACACTAACCAGAAGATTCAAGATGATTGTAGTGCTAAGTTGGAAGAAATTGCCGATGTGAATGTAAAACATGCTCCAAATGAGAAAGTTCAAGGGGACAACAGCGAGGGGAACTTAAATGTTAAAGACTGTGTGGACAGCCAACCTGCTGAAAACAAAGAAGGTAATAAGTTAACTAGATAAATTATGTGCGGGATGAAATGACAATTAAAGAAGTGCATTGTAGTTTTTAGTTACAAAAATTATTGTGTTATTATCCGGAATCCAAAATCTGTTAGTGTATTATGAAACATGTTTAAAAAAACATTTTATATTTCCAATCATCGATTTTTGGTATCGGAATTCGTTTTACCCGTAAAATAATTAAAGATGACAATTTCTTTTCTAACGTATAACTTAAATAACAAACACATATACATCTTTGTAAAAGAGTTGATGAAGATTTAAAAAAATTAGATTGCTCGAAAACTAAGAAGATGTGTGTTTGGTAAATTTGAGAGGATGAAGATGATATCAAGAAATATATTTATAGAGAAATATTTTTGTAGGGTTCCGTTTAATTTTTGAAATTTGGATTGCCTTCAAAATTTGAAAAATTAATTTATTGTTGATTTTATGATAGATTCAGTTTTGAGAATTATTTTATAAATATAGTTTGGATTTATGAACCTAGGAAAATTTGTACTTACAAAAGTTATAAAAATATATTCTAATATATTAATTTACATGAATTATACGCTTACATGTTTGAGTTGTTAAATATATCTATATATATATATATATATATGTTAGTCTGGATTTAAAAAAAATTAGAATATCATGGCACATTTGTAACTAATCTAGTAATATATAGACCATTAGTTTGCTCGATTTATGAAATAAAAAATGTCTGTTTGATTTTAAGTTTAAGTTTGGACGTAGCATGTCTTATATTTTAATATTAGATAATACAGATTTGTTATTTGTTATGCATATATAGAAAAAATGTAACATTTGTTATGTGTTGTTCTGTACTTGCTAATACAGAAATAATAAAGTTTGTCTCGTATAGATCGTGTGTTTTTTTAATTTTTAATTAGAAATTCGTTTTGATTAGTGGGATATATGGATGTATGAGGCTAATGTCAAATTCTGTAAATAGTCTAATAAATTTTGGGTAATTATCTAAATAGAAGTCAAATCATTGTGAGAACGACACATCAGCGTGGCAATCTTGTTAATAACACATGATGGTAAGGTTTTTTTTTTAAAATGTTTCTCTATTAATATATAGGGGATTGAAAATGAAATTAGGTTATGTACTTCTCTTGTTGAGAATGAGAAGGCTGGAGTTGACAGTATATCTAAATTGTTGTGTTCAGGAAATGCTGTTGATAGAACAGATGATAAAGTAGCCTCGACCGGTGAAGTTTCTGTGCCTGATGCTTCTGAAGTGCTCACTGTAGCGGCAGAGATAGAGAAAAGACCGGTTTACTTTCTGCCTAGAGTTCCAAGATATGATAACGAAAAGTTAGCCGAGCAACTCAAGCATGCTGAAGAGCAGGTTGATCAGAAAACGCAGAGTCGGGATGCTCTTAGAGCGGATATCCAGAAGATACGCGTAAGAAATGCTTTTGAGATTTTCATAAGGTGAAGCATCTTGTTCTAAATTTGGCTTTGACATTTTTTTGAAATGGTTATTTCTAGGCAATATGTAAGGACTATGATATCAGTTATAAGGCGGCCATGACAGAAGAGAGATCTGCAAGAAAAGCAATGCATTCAAAACGGCAGGAAATTGAGGCCCTTCAGTCTATGATTAGCCGGGTTAAGAGTGCTGCATCTGTTGATGATATTGATTCGAGGGTGAGACGCCCAATGATTACATTTCCAGCTAAGTCTTGTGCAAGTTTTTAGCTTGTCAAACTTGATTATGCTAATCTATCTTATTTCTCTGCCTCCAATCAGGTGCATAATATGGAACATATGATGCAACACACAACGTTATCTCTGAATGAAGAAAAAGGATTCATGCGTGAAATAAAGCAGTTGAAGCAACTTCGCGAGCAGATATCTTCGAGTATGGGTACCAAGGATGAAGTTAAGCAAGCATTGGATGAGAAAGAGAAAACAGAAGAACGTCTGAAGGTACACTACATTCTACACGTCCTATCAGTCATCTCTTATGTCCTATCTGCATTTATTTCCTCTATTTGCATAACGTCCATTCGGGTGATTTAGTTATCTCATCCTTTCTTTGTGGATATCATTTACACAGTTCAAATCTGACATTTCTGGTGATAACAGGTGTTGAGGAAGGAACTAGACGCCCTCAGAAACAATCTCTCAAAAGCCGAAACAATCACAAAAGCTGCTAAAAAAAAGTGTGATGAGGAATGGGAGGCACAGAGTAAACTGCAAGAACAGTTCAGAGCTGCTGATGCTGTTCGCGAGGAAGCATTTGTGCACCTACAGGATTTGAAGAAACAACAACGAGAAAAGGTACCCAAAGAGCATCTGAAAGCTCATAAACTTACAAATGCTTGCATCTGTGTTTTTTGATTAATCCTTCACTTTTATTTTTTCGTATTGCAGAACAAATATTTCTTCAAGTACAGAGATAATTCAAGGGCAGCAAGTGAAATGGCTTTGAAGAAAGACAGAGCAGCCCTGCAAAGCCTTTGTTCTGACCAGGTATAAGCAGAAGCCAAATTTCTACAACGTTTTCAATCCCTGTATGTCGGCTTTGTACTCATTTCAGTCTTTACGCAGGTGGAGAATTTCATGAATATGTGGAACAATGACGAGGAGTTCCGTAAATACTATGTAAAAAGCAACACAAGGAGTACCTTTAGAAGACTAGGAACCCTAGATGGACGATCTCTTGGCCCTGATGAGGAGCCACCTCGGATCACTTATGCTCCAAGAATGGACAAACTTAGAACTTCTAGTGACAGAGCAGAGAAACATGAGGCAGTTCAACCGGTTCCAGCTCAACAAGAGAGAGTCGTTAAATTTGAAGGTTCAAAAGTTGAAAACAATGGTAAGGCTGTTGCTAAACCCACCGAGCAGAAGAGTCAGACCACTAAATCTAAAAAAGCCGTCAAGCCAGACCAGCCTCCACCAAATGTCACAGAATTGGTTTCTGGAAAAAAGGAGATAGAGAAGTCAGCAACACCTGAAGAAGAAGAGCCACCTAAGTTAACAAAAGAGGAAGAGGAGTTAATTAAGAAAGAAGAGGAGAAGAGAAAACAAAAGGAGGCTGCGAAGATGAAGGAGCAGCATCGGTTGGAGGAAATAGCAAAAGCGAAAGAGGCAATGGAGAGGAAGAAGAAGAGAGAGGAGAAAGCAAAAGCAAGATCTGTTCTCAAGGCTCAGAAGGAAGCAGAAGAAAGGGAGAAGGTAAAAGCATATTTTTCTCATTCTGTGACCCAAATTTGATAATGATCAGACTCTCTAGCCAGTATTTTTATGTTGGGACGAAAATGATTTAAATACTATGCCATGGGTCTGATAAACAACTGTCTATTGTGTAGGAACGAGAAAGGAAGCTAAGGAAGAAGGAGAGAAGAAAGGGGATTTTTACATCGGAAGAGACAGCAATAGAAAACCCAATTCCAACATCAGAAACTGTAGTCGAAACCCCAAGGGAGATCGAAATTCCAAAGAAACAAACCGTAGAGGAGAGTCAGCAAATCAAGAAATCTCACAAAACTTCATCACAGTTTCTCAAACAAAACAAGTCAAAATCGGTTCCTCTGCCTTTAAGGAACCGAGGAAGCAAGAGAAAACTGCGGCAATGGATGTGGATTGGACTCATAGTTGTGATCATCCTCGCATTGTTCCTTCTCGGTAATGCCAATCTCTCCTCTCCTGCAAATCTTTGGTTTACATAAGAACAAAAAAAAAAGAAGAAGTGGCACACTCTTACACACACTTTGCCTTGTGGTTTTTATAGTTATGTTTTTTTGGCTCATCTAAATTAGTTTAGATTTGTGTTTGGTGCTTTTATTCTTTTCTTTTTTCTTAAGTGGTGAAGCTTTGATTCATTGATTTCACACGAACGACAGACATAGATTGGTTTTGCTTGTTCTGGGTATATGTTTAAGAAACACGGTTCCAGTTTTTTATTTTTTTTAATATACCATAATATATTATTAAAGCAATAAACGTCTTCTCATCTTTTATCGATGTATAAATTATGAATAAATTTATAAGATAGGAAGATGTAGTATGGAGAAAGCGATGATATCTCTTGTTGTGCTGAAACTGGTGGAACAGTCTCACATGTTTCTCTGCACTTTCACATGAAGTTCTATGACTTGTTGGTTCTTGTCACTTAAGTGATCCGGGGTGGCTCCTCATCAGTGCCAAGAGATCGTCCATCTACGGTTCCTAGTCTTCTAAAGGACACAGAGACGAGAAACATGAGACTCACCCAGTTTCAACTCTGGATTCAATCTTATATTTTCCCCTCTTCATTCTTCATCTTTGGAATCAAATTTGGAAGAGTCTATAAGGCGCACGAGAACTGCTAGTCGCAGTACATTTTGACAAAACTCTCTAAGCTGGCTGTTTCTTCCGGTTGTTAACGCGCAAACTTTTGCCAGGACAACCACATTAGTTTCCCTAGAACGCCATAAGCAATTGATACGATCGAATGCTAACTTCCCTTTTTTTAACCTCCTCTGACTCGTATCATCTTTTTTAATCTGACATGAACTCTTTGTTTTCAAAGTTATATGGAGTTTTAAAAATTGATACAAGAAAAGGTAAATTGGTGAAGTAACATGAATGGCCAAATGGGGGACTCAACAATGATCCGAATGTTGTTGAGTCAACAACTAAATTTAGTCCCTTCCCATGACCCACAAAGGCACAAACTATTTACTAAGGATAAAATAGTTAGTTGAATATAGTTAGTTTTGTAATATGAAAAACTTAAGATTAGAAAAATAGTTGCGTTCAAACTCAGCCGAATCTTTTACATTCACAAGACAGCGTGACATATAGCTGCCGCATTACTCTTTTTTTTTCTTCCAGTTTTGATGTCCTTCTCATTGACATGAAACAAAAATGTCAACTAAAAATAACATAAATAATAATAATTTGTATGAAAATAAAAAAAGCCATAATTTGAAACATAATTTTTACCCGAAACAAGATTAATCGTTATATGGGAACGGGGTTCTTGTTATATATAGTGAAGGAAAGCTCCTTTGAGAGGCCAAAGAAAGCCTTCTAATTGGTAAGCATGTATAGGCTACTCACCATTGTTTTCAAGTTTCAAATGCTAGGTGTTGAAATATTATTTCCTCAAATCTTTAAAATGAATTGTTTAATATTACATTTGATATATCTTAAATCTTTTCTCAAACCTTCTAAGGTTTCTATTAAAATGATATTTGTGTTTTTGTTTTAAATTTAAGTTATCAGATCCTAGGTTTCACATCACAGAACAGTCCATTGAAGTAAGTGGTTATGATAATGGAAAATTATTGTACTTATATATAGTCATGACTCTCATGAGTCATGACCACGTCCAATGAACCTTGCACTCAAATTCAAACAAAAAAACTGTCAGATCTGTAGTACGAAAGAGTTACCCCAAAAAATTCTTCTTTTAACGTGTACATATATGCATCATTGGAAGTTTATTAAAACGTAAATGTTTTGTTTGATTTATTTTCAAGTTTTATTGACAAAATTTAAACGTAATTACTGGTTAAGCGTTTTTTAAAAAAGGATATCCTCATCTCATCTACCATATATTTTGAAGGAAAAAAAAATTCATATTAGAAGTTAAAAAGTTATAGATCAATTTACATATATATATATATATATATATATATATATATATATATATATTCCAACTCTAGCATACATGAAAAAGATTCGAGAGCATATATATAGTTTATACGTGTAAAGGCACTCAAAATTTGCAAATTATTTCCTCTCACAAAAAATTCCAATCATTTTATGAACCTTTAGCATAGAATATATGGAGATGGGACACACACACACACATATATATATATATATATACATATACATAATACACTGGTTTATATTTCAATTCATATGAGAAATAAAAATAAAAACCCGCCGTTGTTCGTGGTAAGAAGCATGTTGCATGAGGATGTTGAGGGATTAGGCTCAATACATTGCACGTTTGATCTGTGATTGGACTTTGGACCACCATGTGCCATTTGAATCTCTTTCATTTTTCATTTTCCATTTTCATTTTCATTTTTCTTCCAATGGTTCATGGTTACATTTGGGTTGCTCGATTCGGTTTTGTATTATATATTTTTCTTATTATAAAATATAAAAAAGAAAAACAACACTTTGTTCCAGAAAATGTTGGGAAGAGAGTTGTGTCGGGCAATACACTAAATACAATCGTCTCAGTTCTATTATTTCCATCAAATAATGCGACATTTGAAATTATTAATCATGTGTTTAAAATTCTGTAGAAGCATAATGTTGAAACCACATTAATAACTTCATCTAGTCTGCGGCTAACCAGGCAGCTAGCAAACAAAAATACAAACGTTGTATTATCAGAAGTGTATAATTTATCTAATACTAAAAGCCGTAAGCAAAATAAAACTTATATATAATGAATTAGCTTCTTTGGGCATGACTGAAACCTTTCATGTTCCGTTAGTGTTGCATTCATCGACAAAAGTTTATGAAATAGGTCCATCATAATTTTTAATTAAATAGGGTTTAATAATATTAACAGTCTATAATTGGTGTGTGTGGCTACTTTCCTCGATTGATTTCCATAATCGTTTCTAGCTAATAATGTACTTCCAAGTCCCAAACTAAAAGTTATACACTGAAAAGAATTAGGGTAACCGAATTATATATAGTTTGTCATAAGAAAGAAATAAGTAAAAAAAATTTATTTATAAAAATTAGAGATGTAGTACTAAGAAACGTATCATAGCAATAGAGAACAAATTGGTTAAGTGATTAGTGAGATAATGGTCCAATCCATTGCACTCGCGCGACTTTCCGTACCAACTCATAGCTATTTCCCTTTCACCTTTTTTCGACGTTATATTAATATAATTATGTACATAATTAATGTATATGCATATATAACCATCAAAAGTTAACATTCAGCTTACAAAATGATGACATCTTTAGAGAAAAAAAAAAACAATTACACTCTCTTTTATTTTTGTCAACTCTTAATTCCGCTATATAATTACAATACGAATCCCAAATTTTGTTTTTGAAGATTAATTTTGATGAAGAGTGAAGAGAGTGAAAATATTAGATTTTTCAAATGTTTTTCTAAATATTCTAATTAGTTCTTCATTCTTATACTAAAACTTATCTATATAAAAATTTCTTGATTTTCCTTTTCTTCTTTTTTATATAATTTCTTTTTAGGCTCCCCATATATATAGACACAAAAGGAAAAAAAAAAAAAAACAGGATTAACATCACCATTAGCAAGGAATGTAAGAACAGATGTAGAAGTAGAACGAATAAAAGGTTGACACGAGATGATAGAAAATGAGACACGATTAACAACGATAGGTTATAATAATGCTAAAAAAAACTCATAAATAGCGAATTAATAACAACGTCGTTTTATGGAATAAGAAGAGAAGAAGAAGGACAATGAGCCACTTGCATGCGCGTAGGGACGATCCATAAAACCCGTACGTGTGAGGTGTGGCCTCTCTATCTCTTGTCTTGTCTAATCTGTTGTACCAATGTCCAGAGGAGTGTTACTTTCGTTATTGTTCAGAAAACGTATGGGTAATTTTGTCATTTCACTTATCGACAGGTTTTGGGTGGGATTGTTTTTTCCCCTTAACCTTACGTGATCACGACGACTTCTCTCCGTAACGCCGTGTCGAGATTTAAGCTTCGTACGTAAACTAAGCTTGGAATCTAAATTGTATATGTAAACACGAAAGATAATTTCTAAGTTAATTTTTATAATCTAAAAATCTAAACTAATCTTTAAAGCCTATAAAAAACTGAAAGTTTTTATCATTTAAAACCTATAAATAACTGAAATATCTTCTTAAATAAGGTTCTGTACATCTCAGTTCTATAATCGATTAGACAATTTGTTAGGCAAAAATTGTTAGTACCATATCCTAAAAGAAAAGTCGACGATCGTTTCGTTATCACTAACCACTTAGGCATGTTACATGTTTATAACTAAATAGTACACAAATTAAATGTAGATATATTACATGGTATGAGTTATAAAATAGTTGGTTCGTGGGATCTACATTAAAAGAGGGTTTATAATGATTTCGACTATTATTCTATTTTTAGAATTAACAGTAGCAATCATTCTATTCGATTAAACGTAACAATAGTAACCAACTCATTGTGGTGGTATGGTGAATGGAGGATTCACTTTAAGGTTGAAAGACAATAGTTCGGAGTTTTTTTTCCCAGTTTTGGTTGATCACCATTCATCATAGTGGTTAATTTTAAATAGGAGTGGTTCAGCATTATTATGGGCCCTAGGACAAAATTACTAAGATTACTAGCAAGAATAGCAAGATTTTAACATATGACAAGTTCAATCTAAAGTTTTGTTACAAAATCCTCCAATTATATATGTTTTAGAAACGACAAAATTAGAAAAAAAAATTTATATTTTCATGATACACATTAATTATAGACTTTTACATTAGCTTATAAATAAAAATACACAAAATATGTGTCAATGTTTTGAATCTACGTACACATATTCCCAGAACTCAACTATACAAATCTAAAAAAAAAAAAAAACTATACAAATCTCAAACATGTAATACTAATGATCAAAATTTCTCATGCCACATGAATTTTTTAAAACTCTTTAACAAGAATGTTGACTAGAAAGAAACTCTTTTAACAAGTGCATGTTGACTATTTAAAAAAAAAAAAACTCTTTAACAAATACGTAATTGTGTGTGAAAACAAAAATGGATCCGTTAATTAAGGGTAAGAGAATTAAAAGAAAAACAGTGTTGAAATTATTTTGAACTAGTACAAAAGAAAACAAATGGATAAAAAAGCAAATGGAAAAGTCTTGGATCCTTCAACTACATATCTCTCATATGGGCGGCTCGAATAAATATCAAACGAAAATGCCCTCATTACTCTTCGAATTTACACAATGTGCCATCACCGTAGAAAACATATAACAAAAAAAAAAAAAAAAAAAAAAAAGTTATCTTAGAAAATAAGGACTTGAAGACAGCAGAGAGAGACCAAGGAGAAGAAAAAGAAAAAAAAAAAAGCTTTATCAGAAGAAGAAGAAGAAGAAGGACAAAGTTTGAGACTTTGGAAGATTTGAAGAAGATAGCTCGAAGCTGTTGAGGAGAGAAGTCAAATCCTTTCTCTTGTTTCCTTGATTAGATCGGGAAATCTACAAGTTGAAAGATTCGTTTTTTTTGTAAATCGTTTCGAATCTGAACATTCGATTTCTGGTCATGTTTTGCCTGGTTCGTCTCGAGCTTTCGTTGAACCGAAGAAGAGTTTATGCTTGAAAGCTCCGATTTTGTGTTTACTTATTAGAACACTTATTAGCTAAGAGGTAGATATGTTGAGTAGGTACGTTGGTTCGTTCCTCCGCTAGAGATATACAATTTGAAAAAGAAGAGGACTTTGAAAAAGGGTCAGACTCAGATCGATTTCTTTCTTCTACTTAAGAGATGGATGAGGTAGGAGCTCAAGTGGCTGCTCCGATGTTTATTCATCATCCGATGGGGAAAAAACGCGATCTTTATTATCCGATGTCGAATCGGTTGGTTCAATCTCAGCCGCGTAGTGATGAGTGGAATTCCAAGATGTGGGATTGGGATAGCCGGAGATTTGAAGCTAAACCGGTGGATGTTGAGGTTCTTCGGTTAGGAAATGAGGCACAAGAGTTTGATTTGACTTTGAGGAATAGGAGTGGTGAAGAAAGAGGACTTGATTTGAATCTGGGAAGTGGTTTGACCGCTGTGGAAGATTTGACGACGACGACGACGCAGAACGGTAGACCGAGTAAGAAGGTTCGGTCTGGATCTCCGGGAGGGAATTATCCCATGTGTCAGGTGGATAATTGTACTGAAGATTTGTCTCATGCTAAGGATTATCATAGAAGGCATAAAGTTTGTGAAGTTCATAGCAAAGCTACTAAAGCTCTTGTTGGGAAACAGATGCAGAGGTTTTGCCAACAGTGTAGCAGGTAACAAAGAAAGGAGTCTCATTTTCTGCTAATGGTTCTCTGTGTTTTTTTGAATCTGGTATTAACTAAATGACTTTTGCAGGTTTCATCTGCTTTCTGAGTTTGATGAGGGAAAGAGAAGTTGTAGGCGTAGATTGGCTGGCCATAACCGACGTAGGAGGAAAACTACGCAGCCGGAGGAGGTTGCATCTGGGGTTGTGGTTCCGGGGAACCGTGATAATAATAATAATACCTCTACCACCAATATGGATCTTATGGCTTTGTTAACCGCCTTAGCTTGTGCACAAGGTACACTAGTTTGCGACTATGCATAAGTAATTTGGTCTAGGAATTTTGCTTCGATGTTCTTGTTTTATTAACAGATTTTGTTGTCTGCGATCTGCAGGTAAGAATGCGGTAAAGCCAGCGGGGTCTCCAGCTGTGCCTGATAGGGAGCAGCTTCTTCAGATACTTAACAAGATAAATGCCTTGCCTTTGCCTATGGATCTTGTCTCTAAGTTGAACAATATTGGAAGTTTAGCAAGGAAAAATATGGATCACCCAACGGTGAACCCACAAAATGATATGAATGGGGCTTCTCCTTCTACCATGGACTTGCTTGCTGTTCTTTCGACAACGTTAGGCTCGTCTTCACCTGATGCGCTAGCCATATTATCTCAAGGTGGGTTTGGTAACAAAGACAGCGAGAAGACTAAGTTATCTTCTTATGAACACGGTGTAACAACCAATTTGGAAAAGAGAACTTTTGGGTTTTCTTCTGTTGGAGGAGAGAGGAGCAGTAGCAGTAACCAATCTCCTTCTCAGGATTCAGATTCACGTGGTCAAGACACTAGGTCTAGCTTGTCTCTACAACTATTCACCTCATCACCCGAGGATGAGAGTCGACCGACAGTGGCATCGTCTAGAAAGTATTATTCTTCTGCCAGCAGTAATCCTGCTGAGGATAGATCGCCATCTTCCTCTCCGGTCATGCAGGAGTTATTCCCATTGCAGACATCCCCTGAAACCATGAGGTCTAAGAATCACAATAACACAAGTCCCAGGACTGGTTGCTTGCCCCTTGAGCTCTTTGGTGCATCGAATAGAGGAGCTGCAAATCCTAATTTTAAAGGTTTTAGGCAACAGTCTGGTTATGCTTCTTCTGGCTCGGACTACTCTCCTCCTAGCTTAAACTCTGATGCTCAGGTTTGCAGCTTTTCAACTCCTCTTTTTAGCATCTCTTTGTACGTAGATAAAACAAGCCACTTATGGTTTTAATTTTGATGGTATTCAAACAGGACCGCACCGGAAAGATAGTCTTCAAACTACTTGATAAAGATCCAAGTCAGCTCCCTGGGACATTACGATCTGAGGTGATAATTTCTGGCCATACCCTGAAATATAATGTTATTGGTTGCTTCTGCTTAAGTGCTCATAGTCGTGATTGTCTCTCTTTTATTACAGATCTATAACTGGCTGTCTAACATTCCATCAGAAATGGAGAGTTATATTAGGCCTGGCTGTGTTGTTCTATCTGTTTATGTGGCGATGTCACCTGCAGCCTGGGAACAAGTGAGTGAAAATATTTAAGTATTTGGTTATTGAATTATACTATGCTATGTGCAGCTTAGGAGCAGTTGGTGGTTTTTTTTTCAGCTCGAGCAAAACTTGCTGCAACGGCTTGGTGTTTTGCTACAAAATTCTTCTTCTGATTTTTGGAGAAACGCGAGATTTATAGTTAACACGGGCAGACAGCTCGCATCACACAAAAATGGTGAGTACTCACGAGTTGTTACTTCTATGTAACCTTTAATGTTGCAATTTTTTATGTCACCAATGGTCATAACATATCATTGGTTACAGGTAAAGTTCGATGCAGCAAATCTTGGAGAACTTGGAATTCACCAGAGCTCATCTCAGTGTCACCTGTAGCTGTGGTAGCTGGTGAAGAAACAAGTTTGGTTGTAAGAGGTAGAAGCTTGACTAATGATGGAATCAGGTAAAACTATAAAAAAACAAAGTTTCAGACAGTTTCTCATCTTCTCTTTTTCCTCTCTAACCTTTTTATCATTGTGCTGCCAGTATTCGCTGCACACATATGGGTAGCTACATGTCAATGGATGTAACCGGGGCAGTGTGTAGACAAGCCATATTTGACAAGTTGAATGTAGATAGTTTCAAAGTCCAAAATGTACACCCTGGTTTTCTTGGACGCTGTTTCATTGAGGTATGACTTCTTAACACTGAACTTAATAGTTTTCTTTGTCGGTCCAGGTTTATAGCGATGTTTAACGCCTAGTTTGTGTACAGGTGGAGAATGGATTCAGGGGTGACAGTTTTCCATTGATTATTGCCAATGAATCCATCTGCAACGAGTTAAATCGCCTCGAAGAAGAGTTTCACCCCAAAAGTCAAGATATGACAGAAGAACCAGCGCAGAGCTCAAATCGCGGTCCCACATCAAGAGAAGAAGTTTTATGCTTCTTGAACGAGCTTGGTTGGCTTTTCCAGAAGAACCAGACTTCTGAGCCTCGGGAACAATCCGACTTTTCCCTTACCCGCTTCAAGTTTTTACTTGTTTGCTCGGTTGAAAGAGATTACTGTGCTCTCATTAGAACACTCCTCGACATGTTGGTAGAGAGAAATTTGGTGAATGATGAGCTGAACAGAGAAGCCTTGGAAATGCTCGCCGAGATTCAGTTGTTGAATCGTGCTGTTAAGAGGAAAAGCACAAAAATGGTCGAACTACTCATTCATTACTCGGTTAATCCCTCAGCACTCAGTTCCTTCAAAAAGTTCGTTTTCTTACCCAATAGAACTGGACCTGGCGGTATCACACCTTTACATATAGCTGCTTGTACATCTGGTTCAGATGATATGATTGATCTACTCACCAATGATCCACAAGAGGTATGTCTCTCTCTCTCTTTCTCTCATATCCAATTTTTTCGCTTCCTCAAAACTGACAAAACCATTGCTTCTCTTTCAGATCGGATTATCGAGCTGGAACACTCTTTGCGATGCAACCGGACAAACTCCATACAGCTACGCTGCAATGAGGAACAATCATAACTATAACTCATTGGTGGCTCGTAAACTTGCAGACAAAAGAAACAGGCAAGTCTCACTAAACATCGAGAACGAGATAGTTGACCAAACCGGTCTGAGCAAGAGACTAAGTTCAGAGATGAACAAGTCATCAACTTGTGCCTCGTGTGCAACCGTGGCTCTAAAGTATCAAAGGAGAGTTTCAGGTTCACACCGTTTGTTCCCAACTCCTATCATTCACTCAATGCTTGCGGTTGCAACGGTCTGCGTTTGCGTCTGCGTTTTCATGCACGCTTTCCCAATCGTCAGACAAGGGTCTCACTTCAGTTGGGGAGGTTTGGATTATGGCTCAATCTAGAGAAATATACTATATAAATTATAATTTATTCTTTTGGTTTCACAAAGACAAAACAAAAAAATAAGAAAAAGAGAAGAGACTCTGGTACGGATATAAGGAGAAGCTCAGAGACATGACTGTGACACACGACCGAAGTGACTACAGTATTTACTCGAGGGAGTTTCACCGTCGGGAGTTTTTTTTTTTTTTCTGTCTTCAATTATATATATTTTGGTTTGGCTAATTTGTTGTGTATTTCTGTGTATTTCCTTCTACATTTTCCTACTTTCTATGATTATTATTATTATTATTTTAACTAAGATAATAACATGCTGCTTCATATAAGCAGCAGTTGTTTTACTGTTTTGTTTTTTTGTTCTTTGTCTTTGTAAATTTGTACTTTGTACAAGTAGATCTCATGTTGTAACTTCAAGAATTTATGTAACTTTGTTGTTTCTTATTCTCGCAAGTCTAAATGCATAACCATTTTAAACTTTATATGTTGCTACCGAAGTACCGATATATGTGGAACAAGGTTTGGTGCCGTGGAGTCAATAGAGGAGGAAGAAATGATAAAATGAAGGTGGAGGAATCTTGTCACATAGAGCCCAAAAGGCTATATAATAACATGTTAACGATTCCCACGTGGATTGTCGAGCTCATGAAACATCACAACTCACAAGTCACGAAATCTTTAATTCAAAGATATGTTTTGTCACAAGTGAAAGATTCTTGAAATTAGTGTGACTCTGTTACTTAATAAACAAAACATACCTAAAGATTCTTGGAAATATTTGACAGAGGATATGACATTAATGCCACTTTTGAAAAGAAAACTCTTGAAAGAGAGAATGAAAGTGAAATCGTTTGTAAGGTTACATTTCAAAAGTTTATTCTTGTGCTATAAGTCAAGCAACTCTTGATTTTTGATTTTCTTTCACTTTTTAGCTTTATGTAGGTTTTGTTAAGTTTTATGCGTGTCCTACTTAAACCCAATTGACAATAATGAATACATCGACATTTACTTTAGTGTTTAAAAAAAAAATAGTGTGAAATCCTAACATATTTGACGCGTATGTATAGGACTTCAAAATTGATGAAAATTTGAAAATGTTATGAAACAAATGTAATAAAATGTGAGTGGTGGGTCTCATTTCTCATTATATGAGATTTGAATGGGATGCTTTTTAGGTGTTAGCCTTTTGGCTTTCCTTTTTTTTTTTATGTAACAGTAAAATCCAAACAATTATACACACATACTTTTCCGTATTTTCAAAACATATACTAAAAGGTTATATGCATTTGATCTAGTTGCAATGTATTCGATAAGCACATACACGTGAAACACAAGAGATTCTCTACTTCTTAAGTAATTAGTTAATGAAAAACAAAACACAAACATTATAAAACAATACTACTCATATATCCAAGCTAATTAATCAAATACACATTTTTCTTATAGTTGTATATATATATATATATATATATATATATATATATATATATATATATATATATATATATCACCAAATTTGATCAAAATGATATATATCCCCCACCCAAACTCAATGAACACTAGCACATGGATCATCGATGTACTTATCAAACGCATCATCAACTCATAGCAATCTCTACATACAAAGCATAATTAACACACATAATTAGTAAATCATCAAACAATCCCCAAATTCCATAATTACCCCCCTCTGACACGTGGAATTTCTCTAGTAACACCGCCATTTCCGCCTCCGCGGCCGCCACCACCACCACCACCTCTAGTCACACCGTCTATAATAGCTTCACCAACACCTTCACCAAGACCATCGATTATACCACCGAGAAAATCAATAACAACCTGCGACGCCAACCTGGCCGCCGTTCCCAAAACCGCCGGAGACTTATCCCTCCCCTTATGTCCGTTTGCTCGGAGGCCGTTGACGGCGGCGTCTTTGGCACAAACGGCATGCAAGTGATAATCGCAGACGGTGCAACGGTAAACCCTCCCCGTTCGCTTACCTCTCTTGCACTCTCCGCAGAGGAATCCTCCGGAATCTCCCCCGGTGATGTTACCTGGTGAGGAAGAGGGGAGGAGGCGGAGAGGGTGGTGGTGAAGGGAGGAGGAGGAGAGAGAAGGCGACAACATGGCGCAGCCAGGATGCATTTGGAAACTGCAAGCTTTGCATCTAAAAGTGTAACCTTTTGGTGATCTTCCACACACGTCACATTTCGATTTTACTATCCCTCCTTTCGCTGGTATTCATCATGAAAATAAAAATTAAATTATCAACAATATTTTTGTCCTCTCAAAACTAAAGTTTGAATCTTTTCTTTCGTAATATCATTAGAATAGAACGTGACATCAAATATGCGTAGATATAGTACCGTTCAAATCATTTTATAGTGTCTGGATTTAATATTTTCAGTGATTTTGTATTTTTTTGAGTATCTTAGTTTTTGGTGTCTCCATTTTATTCCAGGATCAGCGGTTTCGTACTAGAGCCAATTAAGTTTGAAGTTTTCAATCTAATACGTTTATGGCGTTTTAGAAAGGTTATTCTCTGTTGTTTAATTAACGTAACCAACATTTAATCTTTTTAATGTTGATACCCACTAAATCAGATAATTATTTTGTGTAAAGCAAAGCATAACTATTTTAAGTAAAGCAATCAATATATATATAATCGACAATAATCATCAGGGTTAATTTCTTTTATATACTTTCGTGAGTCTAGCTCTTGGTCTGAAAAACAAACAAAAGACATAAGCACCAACACGAAAAAGAAATGTCGGGTGAAATAAAACTCATCAAGTTGAGTCATTATATTTCCATAATTTACACAAAAAAATACTCCTCAAGTTCAACAAATAATTAAAGGATATCAAAAGACACTTATAAAAACGTACCAGGTTTGGCAAAGAAGAGAAGTTGATGCTGGTAATGAAAAGGGTGTGATTTGAGTTGAGGAGGAGCCAAAGCACAAAACTCGTGGAGCTGATAATCACACTCTTGACACACATACCTAACCCCTGCTCCTTCTTCTTTGCACCCAGCACACGTGTAGATATCCGGCAACTCAACTTTGACCAGCACGTGTTGGGGATGTCCGAAATGGACCATCTCTTCACCTTGTATCAGTTGAGGAGATACAGGGAACTCTACTGACCGGGGTCGGGGTGTTTTGTTAAGATCATTTGTGCGTACCACCGGGGCTGCGGCGATAGTGTTTGAGGCCGAACGTCTTAGAGCTGTCGTTGCGGCGACAGTGGAAGTATTGTTCCTGGAGTTGGAATTGATGACTATGGATTTGCTTCTCATCATTCTTCTTCTTAAAAATGAAAATTTTGAGTTGGTGGGGGAAGTTACGACTGATTAGAGATTTATGTTTTTTTTTTTTTAGTGAGAAATTTGTAGTGGAAATTAGGAGGTGGAGGTGAAAGATTATTTATGGTGGGAAAATATATTGAAAACTGTTACAATTACATAGACAAGTTTAGCCATAGATGAGAAATATAGTTGCTTTAGGTTTCTAGAAAGAAAAGAAGATGCTTTGTGGACTTATTTGTCATGTAATTGTATGGGCAGTTACGTTGAAAAGTTAAAACTAATAACAAGGAGTTATATTATTCGTCTATTTAATTGCAATGAACAAAGTTAATATTCATGTCCCCTTGTGCGCATATATGCGAGGTAGCCAGTTAGGGTTTCTGGTATGATTTCTTTAAATATTAGTTGTACATGTACGTAGTCGTAGTTCTTTTTTCTTCTCATTACCCCTAATCTGGAAATTTTATTCGGTAAATATACCGCAAAAAATAAAAACAATTCGCTCAAATATCTTTTGGATGGAAATTGTGGATTTGGCGAAGTTCACACAAAAAAAATCCCAGCTAAATTTGCGATACAATTCAGTTGACTGCACTAGTTTACTTGGTTTTGCTAAATTACTTGTCGGCAACCACCGTAAGAATTATGGCATGCACTCTATTGTCAATATTGTGTTATTCTTTTCTTTTATTTATTTCAAATCTAATTTATACCTTTACCATGAATTTTTCTATTCCCAAAAATTTATCAGTTTTTTGTTCAAATCCGACATTAGAATATATCACAGAAATGTATTGGGCCACGATTTTATTCTTATTCCTCGCGAGATCATATATACAAAACATTTGTAGTGATAGTTTCCGAGCAAACCCCAAACATAAATAAATTTTCGTAAATACCAGCTCAAAAGTTGTATTTGTTTACTTAGTGGTAGGGTTACAAGAACGTTCTTGCAAAAATATCATACTACGTAAACTACTCAAACTTAGGGTTTTATTTTTTTTAATATATGAATCATGAAAAATCTATCATATAAGAATCTCAAAACTTGAACTATAGACAACGTTTATGACCACACTAAAAGCTAACCAAATCATAGAAATAATTATATTCTTCCCCACGACTCGGGCAGCTTCTCACAACATGTTTTCTTGAAATTTAGAGAGATTCACCATTTCTTTATTACACTTTTGAATTTGTGAAAAATTTCCAACCATATAAATTAAAGGAAGAAAATATATTATAAGAAACAATATAAACTTTCTGCTGTGTATGCGCTGTAAGGGAGCATCAACGAACAACAGAGGACTGACACTATGAGATAGATTCTCACTCAATTAAAACACATCAAAACTTGACTATAAGTCTTGATTTAGCCAATTGTCTCACTTTGTTCAGTTCCACAAGTTATTCCACACTGTCATTTCATCTCTGGATTAGTCATTATTGGATTAATCATTCTTTCTCGATTATTACTTTCCCCATTAGACAAATATGAAACGTACGTAGTTAATTAAGATATATAGAAAAGCGAATATAAGAATATTTATATATCAGCCATACTAATAACAGTAGTTTTCTCTTTATTCTCATGCATTGTTTTTGGATAATGAATTATAGATCTGTCTAGATTATACTTAGGAATGGACATTTCATTTTATTTGTTACATTCAGTTAGGTTATTCACTTATTCTGGTTTAATAAAACTATAAGAGAATTCTAATTAATAGGTTATTTCACTTTGGGTTCGGTGTGGTAAGAGTCTAAATTCTAAGTAAGGTGTTAAACTATTAAAGAGGACATATAGATGACTATGGCTTATGTGAGTTTGAAGAAGAAGACAAAAATGTTGTATGCGATATACACATGCATGTTTTTTTGGTTATTTAGAAGTACGGATATTTCAGTTATTTGTTAATAGTGCAGTTCGATTCAATTAATTCGGTTAAAGTATAAATGAATTCTTACCCAAAAAAAAAGGGTTGGTTTTGTTTGCTTCGGATTCTTTTCGTTTTGGTTCTGCTAATAGGTCGTCACTCCTAATTATGATTAACGATTATACTCTCTAATTGCTTTTGTTTCTGCTATTTACCTTCGAGATTTTTGGTGTCGATTATAATTTTCTGACGGATGTCACATATAACCTTTTTTAATCCTGTTTTATCTTCATGAGTACATGTAGATCAGATCAATCTAACTCACAAAATTGCCCTTTGATAGTGTAAGTTGAGGCAGGTTTAATTGGGCTTGTAGGCATGCTTAATTGGGCTTGTAAAGCCCATAATATTAGATAATACAGGACCTAAGTTAGACCCAGACGACTGCAGCTAGCTCGAATTAGCCCATACGGATGAGGCTAACTCGTTAACGAACTTGTGCAGTTTCGTAAATAGGAATTAGTTTACAATAGTACAATACTACATTCGTTGTTGTAAAATAAGGATCTGAACCTGGTACTGTTAAAGAGAGTAAGAGACACGTAGGATAGTAACTCTTGTCGGCTAAATAATGCTACGTACGTGGCTTATACTTTTATAGCATAATCCTTGTCCGTATACTTGGTTTGGTTCCTTCGAAAAGCTACTTCCCCAAATCGAGGACCTAACTCCGATAAATGCTGTCTTCGTATCTTCATGCGTATTCATAGTTTATTAATTTCTCTGAGATTATATCATTCATTCATCTCTCCTGTCTTTACCCTTATACGAAGAGTCCTTTTGGATTTTCGAATGACAATTTCGAATTTATAAGTAACTTCCATATAACTCCTCACCATTTCGGAGGGTTAGTCGACCATATCACTACTCTAATGGCTATGCGTGGTTTAGTATACCTATGTTTGTCGTCAATTCTACAATTTTTGTTTGTTTGTTAATTCAAATTTAAACACGCGCTTGGGATATAATAGGGTTAATTGTACTCAAACTTATTTGTTTTAACAAAATCTAGTTTTTTTTTTCTTCTTCTCCATATAGGCATAGCCTCTTTTTTTATGAAATTGTTTAATGCATGAACATTATGTTTAAGAAGAGTAGAACTCGATATATTTTCTTGATTTTCTTAGTAGTTTTAGCTATACAGCTTCCTATCTCCAGACTCCATATTATTTATGTATTGACAAATAATATCAAATCATGAAAGATAGATTAAACATAATTTTCCAACCATTTTTAAAAGTAAAATGGGAGTAAGAAAATATTTAATCTTTTGTAAAAAAATCTCTCTAAGGAAAATATGATAAATTGATAAGATCAGCTTATTGAATATAATATGTATCCTAGATTTTTCTAAAATAGTTAATCATAGTAAAACTTAAAGTGAGTTGCCTAATTGTATATTCATATCTAATCTAGTATCATCACGACGTTCAGCTCTAATCTAAATCTAACCCCAAAGTTATGAATATTGTAATTTTCTAAGTTTGAGGATATCTTTTGGAAGCGTGTAATTAAATAAGGGCCAAACATGTTTTCCCATTGGCTCTTCTTCGCCACCAGAAGCAACTTGCAAAAGAGAGTGAAGCACCCAAATATATAAAAATCTTCAAAAGAAAGGGTTCAAATCCTTTTTATAGTGCTGCAAATTGCACTTTAATTTTTTTGATGGTCATCCAAATTGCACATTAATCTTTGTAAAACAAATATTTACGATTTGGGTAATGATATTAAGTAGACAGTAGTGGACCCGTCACACCTAATCGTACCCAATGTATAATCCGGTAAGGTTCGGTTCCATTTGTCCGCATTCCCAAACTAAAAAAATGGAAAGAAAAAAACATAAAAGTGTGTTTTTTCTCTTAAAAACTACGGACAAAAACATTTTGCGGATTGTAAACCATAGTAGGGAAAATATAGTGTAAACCTCGCAACTGATGTTGGCCCCACTCGTCCAAAACATGGCTATAAATTTTAACTAGCTAGTTTAGCTAATGTTTCGATTTGATTTTGTGGTTAACATTATCCATATGCGGTCCATTTTTTCTAGGACCAAATCTATAAAAGATGTTTGGGATGGAGTAGGTTTTCATTTCCCGAGTTCATGCATGATCTAGTTCTTGAAACTTGCATTTTATTGGCTTGTACTTAGATAACCCTCGTTTTTTTTACGACTCACGTGGTCAAACGGTGCACAAAGGTAACGTGAGTCACGTGCGTTCTACTGTTTCAACGACTCTTCTCTTTTGTTTCTTTTTTGCCAATTTGAAGAGATAAGAATACAAAAAGACATTTCTTCCACTTTCCTCATCGCCGATCTACGCTCACTTTCTTCGGTCGGATTTTCCAATTACATTGTTAACTATTAGTGGTCGCACTTTTGGTCATATCAGATTTTTATGACGTGGATCACACTTCTCTTTTTACATGCCTATCTCCTTAATTAATATATCTAATTGCGTTCGACATCAAAAGCTAATATCTATGTTTTATACTCCATTAGTTGTTAATTCACAAAATGCAACGCATATGGAAAATGATTTATTTGTTCAGTACATGATAAACTCGTAATCTAATGAAACAGAAATGTTTTTTTGTCAAATGGTTTAGTATTTACAAATCATTAAATTTGGAGTCGTGAAAGTGATTTTATAGTAATTCATTTTAGCAACGAAAATAAAAGGTTCTGTATTCTAAATAATTTGGTTATTCTCTTAACCCAAGTTTTGATTTACTAGAACACTCACAATCGTTACCCGATAAAGTAACGAAATGCATCAGTGCCCATAATAACGTCTAAGTACAAAGGAGATTCTCTAAGACTACATGGTTTGACTCTCGTTTTTACATTGTTTGACTTTTACAAGAGAATCTAACAGGTTAAAAAGTAAAAACGATACAAACACACAAAAATTACAAAGCAATTATAGCCTCTACTTCTAAAATTTTAATTTGGTTTTAACTTTTAACTAGAAACGAACTCCATTTATTGTTTTCTTGGATCACGTTAAGTAACGTGGCAGCTGAACGCTGACCTATGACTCAAAGTGAGTCCCACTCTAACTATCATCTTGACGGCTCTGGATTCGCCACGGATGTGAACCGGAGGAGGGCAAAAGCGTCCGACACGTCCCACAAAAAAGGATTATACGAGAAGGCTCTCTTCCCATCGAACGGCTCTGATTTAACCAGACTAGTCTCTCTTCTGTCTCTGCTCATACCCGTCGATCTGTCTTGGCTTTTCATCTATCGCCACCTCTTCTCTCTTTTTTTTTTATTTATCTCCTCAATTTTCGGATTTAAATTTGTCTAAAAAACAAAGAATTAGGATAAGACTATTTGTCTTTCTAATTCTGACCATTCTTAATTATCATTTTCTTACTTGACTTTTTCAAATTGAAGTGTGGGAGTTCCTTTATTCT